TAATATTTTTCCTGAATTTTTTGCATTTTCTCATTTTGCGTCAATAACTCTTCTGATGCTTTGAGGGAATTCTCCAGATTTCGTGCCTTCAGTGTAGTTTTTTGGTGGTCCTTTTTTCGACTGGTTATAGTAGGAAGTAGAAAAACTGGTTTATTTTTTTCTACTTGAACTGCGGAAGACTCAGTTTGTGGCTGTTCAGAACTGCTAATGCTCGGTCGTATTGGCAAAATTTGAAATTCAATATTGTCAATAGGTTCAAGAAGTGACTGTGAAAAAAATGTCATATTATTTAATAATATTAAGCTATATAATTAAGTATACCCATATTTTATTTTAATCATGACAAATATATTACTAGTAGATTTCCTATTATTTTTTTAAAATTTTATGTTTGTATAAAAAACACATAAAATAGAAACCAACAAGAGATTATTACAATTATCTAGGGCTCATACATAAGCGCTTGACTCCATGACATTTTCATCACCTTCCACAGCAGTGGTTTCAAGTAATTCCATCACTGCCTCTTCATCCTCTGTTGTTGATATTTGTTGCTGTGGTCCACCACCTGTACCCCTCATAAAATGGATTACCTCTGAATTCTTCTTTTTGGCATTTTTTTTTAAATCTCCCCAAGTCTAGGAAAGAAATATTTTTAAATAAACAAATAGCAATATCAGATTTTTTTACCTTTTTCCATTGCACCCAAGTTTTATTTGCTCCTGGCATAGCATTTAAAGCTTCAGAAATAGTTGACCATTGTTCTTGGGCCTTTTTGTGGGTAAAAGTTGATGAAAACTTTGACTTTAAAAGTTCTTCGTTGTTTCTAAGCATGTTAATTAATTTTTTTTTTGCGCTTCCGACATGAACGCACGCTTCATCATAATTATAATAATATTAAATTTTTCGTATTTTCAAATACACTTCTATTCAAATTAATATACTATTAAATTATTACGCAAATGATGACATTTACAAAACAAATTTCAAATTCAAATCAAGTGAGTAAACATCAGGGTCGCCAATAAAGGCACTGAAATATTGAAGAAAACTCTGCCCGCTGATTGGTCAGTTGCAAATATATCCTCGACATACGGCATAAATTAAATTCTCTAGAGAATTGGATTCCTTCAACGTTCAAAAATAAGTATTTAAGTTTTTAAGAGAAATTTGTCAGGTGAATTTTTTCTCTGGAGAATCAGTTCTCCTGTTTTCAAAAATCAAGCCCCNGTTTTCTTCAATATTTCAGTGCCATTATTGGCGACCCTGATGTTTAGTCACTTGATTTGATTTTGAAGTTTGTTTTGTAAATGTCATTATATTCGTCAGGGAGACTAGACATCTCCATGATATTCGTAGTAATTTAATATAACTTCAATTTGAATAGAAGTATATTTGAAAACACAAAAAATTTAATATTATTATAATTATGATGAAGCGTTCGTTCACGTCGAAAGCGCAAAAAAGAAATTAATATGCTTAGAAACAACGAAGAACTTTTTAAAATGAAAGTTTTCTTCTACTTTTACTCACAAAAAGGCCCAAGAACAGTGGTCAGATATTGCTGAAACTTTAAATGGTTTAATTAATGTTGTCGCGGATGGTTTACAATTTCTGCAGCTTGCAAATTATTCATTATATTTAGATTTAATAATTAATTATTTGGATCCATTTCAAATTTCAAATGATTACGCACCTTAGAACAGCGAATTAATGAAGTGACAATTTGCGCATGAGCATGAGATGACATTCGGATTCAAACTATTCGGAGAAAACGCCAATTCCCCGACAAAACCCTGTGGAATTATTTCTCTTGATATCTAGAGAAAATATTCCACAAGAAAATTTCAAAAATCACATTATCTGTGTGTCAAGAGAAAATGACGTAATTTTCTCTAATGAATTAACTCTCCTGTTTTCAAAAATCAAGCCCCAGTAAGTATATGATTCCTTATAATAATTCGAACTTATGGAATTTGTGCACCTCTTGACAGATGACATTAAACCTTGTGAAATTTATTTGACTGTTTGGCAAATCACGAGAGTCTCGCTACGAGACTTGTTTTACTTTTATAGAACTACAAACAATTGAGGTTGTTACTATGGAAACGTATTAAACTTTTGAGAAATTTTTTATTGGAAATTATGACTTTATGCATGTTTTTTGTAGCATGACTATTACATTTTCTGATTCTACACATTTTGATGTCTATTTCTTTTCTCTACGTTCAAATTTTAATTACTTTCTACAAATTTTGCCTATTTTTGTATATTTTAACCAAATTGTGCTATATAGCTTAATTCTATGCCTGTAATATTGTTCAACGACATTGACGTTTACCTACTTATTTTCACTTTTGTCAACAGACTTTTCCTGTTTGGATAAGTTATTAAGTGAAATGTTGTTAAGTCCACCGATTATTGACAACTTCTAAAGTTTATACACTAATTGGAACGTAAATTGGAACTTGAATATAGTTTTTAATGTCTAGATCGTTTTTAACATTGCACAAGTCATTTTTCAGCATGAAGTTATACAAATACATTAATTTTTATTCCACTTATAAATCTTGACTAAAGGTATGATAAACTTTAGTTTTAGTGTTATTGTTAGTTTATTGCATGAATTACATTTTTCAAATTTCCTTAAACGTATGTGACAATATGACATGACTTTACATAAGTGTACTTTACTGTACTTTCTAACTTTTCTATGATATCTTTTTTCCATCTATTTAATTCATACATTAAATTCATCTGCATTATTTTGACAGATTGATTTATTTCATTTAACGAGTTTGTCTTATTATCTACAAACATGTTTTATATCTAATTTTATCCTTCATTTTCAATCTCTCAGTATTCCACATCCCTGAAGTGTTTATTTTATGAGAATATCTCAAAATTCAAAATTTTGGTTTCATCTCAAGTTTATTTATCGTTGCAAATCAAAATATCATAACGATATAGGTATTAGGGTGGATAGATTATGGAGTTAATTGGGCCAAATATACATGCAATTATTGCACTTAAATGTCTATTATGAGCCAAAATCGTATACGAAATTACTCTGCGGTCCCAAGAAATGTTTCAATTTAGGGGAATTTGCTCATCGGTATCTCGAAAACTGTCCATTTTTGGACTTTGTACCTATTGACTCTTTTGATTAGGAGGAAATCAAAATATTAAAAATCCAGACAAATCCACCGGGACTTGAAATTCATAAGGTTTTTGCGGGGTCCTTTACAATTTGAGTGAGCAAAGCAAGTGGTTAAATCGTTGCAAGAAGTATATCTGTACCCAAGGACGTTAGTTTCAATAATACATGATACATGTAAGGCATAAATAACGCCTCATATTATATTTGTTATTAATCGCCTTTTCACTAAGACAATGCTATGATAAATATAAAGAAACTAGGAATAAAAAATTGGCGTCGATTTCATAATCCGAACAAAGTAATTCAATTCCAAGCTCATCTTAAACCATCTAGAATTTGATTGTTGGACCTAATGTCAATGTGACAGTAAGTATTTATAACCAAACGTGATATGAATTGCGATTCCTATTTACATTTTATTTTAACTTTCCTTTAAAAGAAATTTGTGTTATTAATGAGATTGCGGCTTGGATAAATATTGAGTAAACTAAAAGTATATTCCCATCGAAATAATAACGAGGGAAAAATTGTCCGCCGGTATCATTTTACATGGCGTCGTTCACCCTTATATCCCCGACGTCAAGATTAAAACCTTCATTAGGAAGGTGAAATTTAAAACTGTTACAATACCCTCGCCCCTTGTGGTTTTCCTTAGATCGTTAAAAGTTCGTTAAGTCCACCAGTGTTGGCTGGTTTAAATTTGTCAGGGGAAGGCTACCTACGAGGTTTGTCCTTTGCGGAAACCGTACGGTGTTAAACTTTTATAAAGTTAATTACTGAAGATATAGAAGAATTCTGTACGAAAATGCAGTAACTGATTTTATCAGTTAAATCTTTAGTAATACTACCGCAATTATACATTCAATTTTATTTGGATGGATTTTACCTCAAGCTAATTATCCGTGAACTCATCGTCTATAAGTAGACTCTGTTGGTTGCCAGCTGTAACCACCATCAGTATTAGTAATTGGATGAATTTCCATCTTCAGGCATTTCCAATGCAATTTTACACCACCATATTCTATAAACTGACATCTATTTAAAATAGTATAAATACGACTCCGTTAGTTTTAACAATGAAGTTGAAAATCCTATCGATTTAAGCTTTGATAACAGGCGATAATGATCAATTCTATCAAAGGCTTTTTTATGTCAGTATATAAGTTTGTTCCAACAAGAGTCAGGGATTGGTTTCAAACCGTCAGAAATGTGCATCCAACTAATTCTTGCGATATATTCACTGAAGACACATTTAGAATTTAGCTGGCCAAACATTTCTAACGGTTGGGAACCAATCCCTGACTCTTGTTGGAACAGACCTTATATGACATCCACCTGGCCAGCAGAATCGAGAGAATTGCAGATATACTGAGTTATACAGGTCAAATTAGTTACAGTCGATCTATTTGACATAAACCCGTGTTGGAATGGTGAAATTGGGGATTTTACTGAATTATATTACGACATACAAGTTATGGAAATATCTAGAGGGTTTCCCTGAAAAGGATGGACAACGCTTGACCACAGGTTCCTTGGATGAAATAAGACTATTTAGCCTAACTTACCTATATACAAAAGTGCACGCCTACTGGGATATAGCCTTCTAAATATAGAATAGATAACCTATTTTTTTTCAAATAATTTGAAAACTATTTTTCTTAGAAACTTCAAATTTGGTACATTAATTTTTTGGATGTTCTATTTCTAGTGCCTGTGCGCTGTACCTTTTTTGTGTGTATGCCAATAACGACAGAATTTATATTAATAAAAATTTGTTCTATTATAGGAGTTTTTTTTGCTGCTACAAAATTTCGATGTCGTTTATGGATTCCGAGTAAAATTCGCATTTTTTATACATTAAATATAGGCAAAAATTTGGATTTATAAAAAATAATTTATAACTGCAGCCTCAAAGCAGGGAATAATAATGAAAAAACCTTACATTAAAAAAAATAACTACACATTTTTGGTATCAGTATTATCAATCAATAAAATAAAAATCAACACTAATATTTTAAATAAACAATATCAACTAATAATGTAAGAAAGTCAACATTNTTCAACAGTTTAATACATTTATTATTATAAAACTCATAACCAGTTCTAATAACGATATGGAACACTTTAATAACAGTTATTGCTATTATTTCGTAAAGGGTATAAAAAACGTTGTGTACTAGTTATACAATAAATTAATAAAGAATAAGGTTTATAGTCACTATACAACTGTGCTAGCAATACGCGTTTTATATCCAATATTCACCTGTTTAACTGGTCTTATAATGGTATATAGAATTCTAATAAAGAATAAAACGCATTTATTTCAGTGTAGAATAGATAACCTATTTTTTTCAAATAATTTGAAAACTATTTTTATTAGAAACTTTAAATTTGGTACATTAATTTTTTTATATAAGGTAAATATAGAATTTGGAGAGAATACATATATAGGATGTTCTATTTCTAGTGTCTGTGCGCCACTGGCTATCTCGTAACTTTTTTGTGTGTATGCCAATGACGACAGAATTTATATTTTTAAAAATAAGCACTATTTTAGAAGATTTTTTGCTGCTACAAAATTTCGATATCGTTTATGGACACCGAGTAAAATTCGCATTTTTTATACATTAAATATAAGCAAAAATTCGGATTTATAAAAAATAATTTATAACTGCAGCCTCAAAGCAGGGAATAATAA